AAAATAATGCACAAAGTAAAAAAAAAAAAAAAAAAAAAAAAAAAGTAACGGAGAGGACTACTGCGCGTTATATACGAGTACGACATTAGATAATTGACGTGCCATTGTAGGAATTGTCATTTGCATCAAATTAATTGCTCGTTTAAAGAGGAGGGAAGCGGATAAGATAATTTTACGCTTCACCACAGCAAACACTAAATGTGTTTGCTGTATTGTTGTTGTTGTTATTTTGTTTTCTTAAATTTGTTTTGTTAAATTGCTAAGTGTGTTGTTATTGTATCTTTTATTTTCTTTTTACTTTAGGCTGCCAAATTTGGGCACAAAAGCATGGGTCCTAAGGAAGCGGATCCGAACATTCGCCAGTTTTCCGAGGAGCAGCTCAAAGCGGGACAGAACGTGATAAGTCTCCAGTACGGTTCGAATAAAGGGGCCAACGCTAGTGGTATTAATTTTGGTAACACACGTCACATGTAAAAAAAAGAAAGTAATTTCCAATTCCAAGAACAACTCGATGCTTATTTACTAAATAAATTCCCTATTTTAATTCGGCAAATTCGATTCGGAATAATTTTTAATGAACTAAAATTCGATCCTTTGTCGAGTTCCTAGTCTGTCTTTTTTTTTTCTTTCTTTTTTAAATTAAGTTATCGATTGTTTCCTTTTTATTTTTTAAAAATAATTTTAGAAGAAACACGTTTTGACATTCCACACCACTTGAAAAATTCTTCTTCGTCGTAATTTTACAAATGTGACCTTTTGACCTCTTTCACGTAAAAATTCGGGCTCCTTTGTAGCCAATCACGTTAATATATTCGACTCGGAGATTTTTGTAATTTATTTATAAAGGTGTTATCTTTTTATGCACAAATTTCATAGAACGTTTTTAGAAATTCCATGAAGTGACCTTTTTTTATTTTAAATCTTTCTGTAGATTTTTCTTCTTCCCCTTCGTGTCTTCTTGGAGGGATTCGCAATCACGGCACTGTTAGATATTAACCGTTGTTTTTTCTTTTTCTTTATTGCTTTATCGACCCATTAAGTTAGAAGTTCTTCTATCAGAGACCATTTTTAAGTGGTAGGACACGTGATTGTGGTAGAAACGATTGTGCACGTGTTTAAGTTCGCACGTAGTAAACGGAGGGAGAATAATTTTCCACGTCTATCCAATTAATTCGCTCGTCTAATAGTAAGAATCTGCAGTTTCATCATTGTATTTAAAAAAAGAGAAGAATTTGCTATACTGTAAACGTAGGATTTACTGCAAAAAACGGGGGAGAAGCGTGGTTTCTTCCAGTACAACAACCTCCGGATATTTTTTTAATGTCGCTAACTACGAGGATTTATATTGCCTTCTGTAACTTAAAATATAATGTAGTTTTATAGTATTTGTGATTAAAAACAAAATATATATACAGGGAAGAACGAACCTATTTTTGTGCAAGTTTAAATAAAAAGAAAAACTTTTATCTTGGACCTATCGATTGGTTTCGTTTCTGGTAATTTACACGCGAGGTTTCGAAAGTGTGTGACGTCACACTCGAGTGGGAAATTGTCGAAATTGCCAGTGGTAAATAGATCTGAAAAAGGTGATACTTAACGGAAGCGTGACGACACACGCGACGATCCTAGTATCGCGGAAGAGAAAAAACAAAATGGCGTAATCGCCCAAGCGTTTCGATCCGTTGGTAAATCCCGTTTTTGCCATGATTTCTCGCTAAACTATAAAATGGGGAGGTAACGCTTACTAAAAACATCCCGAATTTACTTTCCATAAAGTAGTAATAGTGTAGAGCGGTCAAAAGTTATGCATGCACTCCTTCCTCCGTTCTTCCAACCCATTATTTTTCTCCTGTGCCACTTGGAAACCATTAAAACACAACCCCCAATAGCTGTTTTTTTATCCCCAACTCTTGTAATGGGGGGAATTCCAATATTTTATGTATGTACAGTACTTGGAAGAGTTGCACAGTATTAAATCCATCATCCAGTTGGTCTGTTGAGGTACAGGACACAAATCTTACACCTTACTTATAAAAAATAAACGTTATTAACCATTCAAATTATAGTTGAAAAAATTAATATTTGATGTTATTAAAAGTGATTTAAGATCAGTATCATCTTACAGTTTATGTTTACATTAGTAGTATATTATAAATTGTTTATAGTAATATACTCTACAGACAGGAATTGCTGATTGATTTCCCTGTTTGGATGGTAACTGTAGTCCACAACAGCACTACAAAATGGTATATTTTTTTCTCTACATAATTCCTTTTTAAGAACAGCATTTTGCTTCCATTTATATGATAATTTTTCCCAAAAATTCCCTATTTTTAAATTTAATTTTATCTGGAAATTCCCCTAATGCTTCTTTTTCTTTTTTTTCCAAGTCATAAATATAGAAGAGGGTTGTTGCCTAATGTGTACTTTACTAGCTGAAATCCTGAATTGTTTATGATAAACATCTTAAGGGTTTAAAACAATTGACATTTTGTATTTGATAGAGAGCTCGTTATTCAAGAATTTCTAACTAAATGTTACATTGTTTCCAACACTTCTAAGCTTGGAGTAAATTAACAAATTTGGCATATAAACAAAATTAACATCTTGGCACTTATCAAAATGCATTCATAACTACAAATAATTACTAAAATATCATCACACTTAAACTTATAAAAAAAATAAGTTTAGAAAAATTGATTTTTCTTCAGTTTTTTTATCAATCTAGGTTATTTTAAATGAGTAGATATTTATAGAAATCATTTTTAAAATGTATTGATATTTTATCAAATATATTTAAAGAATTTTTTCCTTAATTAAATTTGATCCTGTTTGCAAAAATTAAGAATTATGGCTAACTATATAGTTTTAGAAAGTTGTTTAAATTGTATAGGATAAAACCCAAGTATCTGCATGCCTAGCATTGCTCAGGCTTTTGAGGGAATGGGGAATTGAGAGAGGATGATAAAAACAACGGTCTTCGTAACTAAAATAGACATTTAATGGCCCGAATGTTTACGATAATGAAATTGTAAAACACAAAAATTACCTTAACTTATTTAGGGGGACCTCCAGAGTATTTTTTCTAAGGCATCAAAGAAGATTCATGCCAAGTTTGGTGGTATGTGTTGAATGGTATAAAATCCTTTACCTAACATGTATACATATTTTGACACACACACATATATATATATATATATGAGATTTCATCCAATTTTATCCCATGTAATTAAAATTTATACATGAAAATATCATAAAATTCTATAATATACATTCAAATATTGATATAGCACTCTTCTGTGTAGTGCCTATGAAAACTTGTGAATGTATCTTCCCCCCCATAAACATTAAACAGTATGTTTTGTATCTGTGAATTACTAAATGTGCTATTTGCATTGCAAGTGATGTTGCCATCAAATGGTGTGATTTTCAAACATCGTGTGTAGACCTCGTTACAACACTAGTTTAGCATTAGTTTGCTTTTAAACTGGAAAGTTTGAAAGCAAGCATTTTTGATATATCTTTATATATTTAATCAATAATTTATTGCTGGATGAAAGCGGCAAACAATGAAAAATTTTAATATGGAATTAGCTACCGTACATTTTGAGGAACATATTACAAATTTTTACTGATAAAATATAATTTGAGTTAGTAAAAACTAATATTAAACCTTAAAATTAGCTCTTTATTTAAAACTAAATTACAAGTTAATAGGATTGCATACTAGCAAGAATAGTCACAAAATTAAATTTCGTCAGTATATTTCCTATATACGTATTTCGTCTTTGGTTTCTTAGATTCTTCCAACAATTTTGCCACACTCTTTCGTAATGCCGGGGGCTGAAATTCCTCGTCTAGCGTACACTCTGCCGGATACTTGGTCTGTTGTAAACGGCTTACGCTCGCTTTAATGATGTCAATGTCCAACATAAACGAATTGTTTAGGTCCTTTAAAATTGTCGGGGAAGCGTTGAAGTAAAACAAAAAATAGCTGAAAAATAAAGCCAAATTAACAATTATTATTTGCAATTTATAACTTTATAAAAATTTGCTATATAAATTTTGCCATGTCCATTCGTGACTGTCAGAACACAATTAACAGTAGCAGTCGACCTTTCTTTAGAGACTCTTTGTATAAAAATTCTTGTGGTGTCATGCTTTGTAAAAATATTAAAACAATCTAGGAATAAATGTTTAATGGTGTACACATCACTTTAAGGTTATTACAAATTTCTCACTGCACAGTAATATCCTGTATAAATCTGAGTTATAATACACTGAATGTATAGACAGATCTATTAAACACATGCAAACAGTAACACATTCTATATTATTGATACGAATGGGCCGATTGGTTTGAGATTTGGCATGCTAAAAGTTCTACATGGACAAATTAGCAATCTTGTTAACAAGATGCTATTTTGCAAGACAAAGACAACATTGAGACTTCTATTACTATTATTTCACATCTAAAATCAAAATTAAATTTGAGAAACATTGCCACAAGATTCTGATATAAAGAAATAAAAATGCACATAAAAAACTTTACCCAAGAATATACAAGGAGTCACAATATTTATACTGCATTGAATGAAGTCTATGATTATGTCGGTGTAAAATAGATTTATCACACATTCCCGTTATATGGTACACGTTGGTGTATTTATAAGTTCCTCCAGTTGTGTGACAATTATAGCATTGCTTGCATTGATCACTGATTAAAAAAGTACATCTATGTTACATATATGTTCATTTGAAAAAAATTAATAATTAGTTGCAAATTAATAATTAGTTGCAAATAACTGACTATTCTTTTATATTTGAATACAAGGTGTCACGTATAAACTGGTTTCAAAGAGAATACTGCCAGTTTTTTGAAACGGTGGCTACATTTCTTAATACTTGAATGGTTTGCCACAGAATTTTAGTAATTCCTTTTAGTGTGCTGTAAGATACAAATTACACCAACAATTTTCAACCATTTGTGTGTTTCAGGAGTTTTTTTGACAGCAATATTTATGACTACAATAAGTGGATTCTATGCACAGTTTATTAAATGAATACATGTTTCTGGAAAATTAAGTTTTGAATCAGTCTGAGTTTGGAACACTCAAGAAGGCAAATGACTTACCAAAAACTTCTATTCCAAAATCATTCAATGATTTTTAATTTGCCAAATCATAAATGTTGTTTTTGACTGGAACTTGCTGACATAAGCAACATGTGCAGGGCAGCTATCAGTTTGTTAAAAATGGAGGTTAATTTTGAATGACGGGTGCCGGTAGACTCTCCAAAATAAAATGCCCTCATAAAATAATGCTTAGGCTCATTATTTTTATTTTTAGAACAAAATGTTCACAAGAATGAATTAGCAATTGTAGTTAATGTGCTGGATTAATCAATGAACCTTTAACAGTGGGTAAATTTGAAGGAGTGCTAACATTTTTGATGCAGTTAGTGGGCCATCTTCAGGCATGGATAGATGAAAGTGAACACGGATCATGCCAAGTTGTTATTTGCATTTATGACTCATTTTTACAGAAAAATAGTGAGCTTTACAGCTGATCTTCACTGCTGATAATTGACAAAAACAATTTTCACTTTGTGTCAGGAATGTTACATGAGACACCTAACCCACATTAAAAACATGTATTAAAAACTGTCAGTACTTTTGAAGACATATAGCCTTCGTCATCAGGCAAATATTGAACATAAATGCAACATTTCTTTTTTAAAATCAGTACAGTAATACCCCAAACTTACACGATAGGTGGAACCAAGCGGTAACCGCGTAAGTCGGGGTATAATTTCGCATATAAATACAAACAAATAATTTTTAATTGGGGCCGGAGACTAAAGAAAACAATAATTTAGAAAAAAATGTTTAATAAAATCTTAGATAATATAGGCCTAATTTGTTATACATATATATTATTTTACAATTTTTCACATTTACTTGATTATCACGTCATAATTTTAACATCTCAGCGATAATACCGTGACATTTACGAATGATGCTTGAATTTAAAGATTAAGCATTTTTCACAGCTTCGAGAATTTTTTCTTTGCTTTTTATAATTGTTCTGACCGTCAATTCTGGTAGATCAAACTTCTTTGCCAATTCACAAATTTTCATTTTTGTATCGAAGTCTTTAATAATGGGTATGTTCGTAAAGTCAAATGAGTTAAATGCGTTAGTAACGAATTGTTCGAAAAGTCTAACAAAATAGGAATAACGATGTCGTAATTCTCATTTAACTCGTTTGACTTTACGAACGTACCCAATGTTAACCTTACATTCCAAAGATAAAGTTTTTCTTATCTTGTTTGATGCAGAAGAATTAGTTCTACTTCGTTTGGATGACATAGTAGAGTCTCGCAAGTCTCCGTAGATATAACAAACACAGAAATAGCTACAATTTATTTTGTGTTATTTATGTGTCAATTCCGCACGACACATACGAACATGTAAGCTGAACAATAGTGTGGGGGGAATGAGTAATCAAGGGTTGTGTGGCGCTCAAACAAAAGACGAATCAACGAGATTTGAAAATCGCGTAACTCCGGGTTTGCATAAATCGGGGTAGCGTAAGTCGAGGTATTAATGTACAGGCACAAGATTGGAATATCAAATATTCAATAAAAATTAGAAGAGTCTAATAAAAATGAGATGCATGCAAAATTATCAATGAAAATATAAATCTCCAAGTGATCTTTAGAGCAACTACAATGTGAATTGTTTAAATAATACTATTGATAAATGCAGAATATCGATGATAGGGTATTGGGGGTGAAAACGACAGAATATAAAAATTTGTCCATAAGAATAATAACCTTTTGTCATAGCACCATCTCAGTAATCTAGTATTAGCCCAAAGTATGTAGCCATATCCTAATACTCTTTTTGAAAGCCTAGTTGTGAGTTTATTATTGGCAATAACTTCTTGATGTTCTGCTATCTGAACTTGCAACATTCTGGATGTGGCTCCAATGTACATTAATGTTGTTCCTGATAACGGCTGCCATGGCAATTGTGTAAACCCGATTTTTCATATAATGGCAACACTGTCCCTGTCATTATATAACAACCTATGTAAGGTAGACCAGGAAACAATTGGTAAAAGGAGGCAATAAGTTCTGAAGAGATGGGCTATGCGTGAAGATAAAATGCTCACAAAAGGAACTGGAGTGTAAACATTGTAGTGATCTTGTTTATTAAAAAGGAATGTCTGAGGATATATCAATTTCCTGACATGATTAAGGGGATATTTAAATTTAGCTATCCTGTCCTGCATCTGATATAATTCGCATCTCTTTGTTAATATATATTTGGGTGGACAGAACTAAGAACACTGTACGAGAGCCAAAGTAGCAGAATTTACAAAGCACATGCTAGAAGGCAGTGGTAGGGACAATTTGTGGTAATGTACCAGTCTTCTGGTGGAGAGAAAACACAAGCCCAGCAGGTACTCTGTGTATGAGTAAATCAAAAAACAGTATCTTCCCACTTTGTTCTTGCTCAACAGAAAAATTATTATATAGATATAAGATAACATGTCTATCTATATAAATTGCAATGAAAGTACTTGCAATTTTTAAAAAAATTGTAGAGGGCCTATAAATCTGTGAAAGGGGAGTGACATGTTTTTAATATCAGTTAGGTGTGATTTCTCTCCCATATGATCTTCACTTTATTCATTAAAGATGGATCTGATTTATAGTGGTTTAGGCTGGATATGCCATAATTGTTAAATGACATTCTTATCTGCTGTAATGGCTCACAGATCTGTGGTAATATCATCTGTATTCCTACATTATAGTATATTGCTGTGGTAATACTATAATGACAAAGGAAAATCCTGTTAAGCAACGAGGCATATCTTCACTTCAGTGGAACTGTGACTACTGCAATTTGGCCTCTAAAAGCCTTCATGTTTTACAGAATATTCCAGTTACAATCTAGTGTAGATTTACAGCCATATTTATTTTTGAAGAAGCTAGTTTCAAGGATTCTGTGACATGCATCATAACAACCTAGTTATTGAGAGATACTCAACACTTCTGTTATATCCTAATTGTAACAGTGACAAAGCATTGAATCAACAACTTTCATGTCAAGTGGAACACCTCCATATCTGTGTTTAGCAGTTTCTGCAACATTTTATCAACAACAGAGTGATTAGTTGTGCATTTCCTATCTCCTAGTGATCTCATTGTTCAAATCTTAGTTCTTACAAGTTTTGGTTGTGGGGAAATTTAAAATGTGTGGTTTATTCATGATATGTTGTGAACTTGACAGCTTTGAAAGATAGTATCACATTGCATGCAAATTGCATCAGAGGAAAAGTTACAGTCAGCCATCGAACACATTGTTCATTACCTTCAGAATGGACACCACATTGGGCACATTGTTGCTTGCAGTGTTAAGAGTGCCAAAGTGACAAGTTTAATTACTAATTTCTTTCTGTGGAAATGAATGCATGCCAGTTTGCAATCAGAGAGATAACCTTAACAGTATGAAAACATGTTCTAATATTCACCAATGAGTCCATCAGTGCAGCAACCGATACACGTTGCATTTGTCGGGTTGTGGATACAATGAGCTCTTAAGTTAAATCAGATGAGTATAGAAATGGTGTTAATAATAATAATATAACCACGGAGGCGGTTGTATTGCTTCATCGCAGTTCACCACATCCACAACCTGACAATTGAATGCACATCGATTACTGCACTGGTGAATATCAGAATACATTTTTGTGCATTGCAGTACACTGTTTGATACATACCGGAATGTACCCAGTGTAAAACTCGAGTGTGATGTGTGTTTTGATTACATCTTGCTAAATTAAAATAAATATATTTATTATATTTTATCAAGTGTTCTTTTTATCTCTACTTTACCTTCCTTCCTTGTGTACCCGATCATGTACGCTCATTTTATAAGGAAGTTGTTTCGTTCCCAAATTCTCAATTTTTCTAAGAACTCCGTTAGCCTTTAATATCGCCATTCCAGACCTTTTTAAACTGTCGACAAGCTCCGGCTACGAATAAAATAAAATTAAAATAACAAATTCCGTACCAAAAAATATAATAAGAGATTTAAAAATCGTCGACTTACTCTCGTCATCTTCCTCAAAATTAAAGCAAGTTCGTAACAAGGCATTTTTACTTCTTTACTTGTTCTTAATTTTCAAATAGACTACACATGTTTACTCCGCCATGTTTTTGCGTATCGTTGACCATCTGGTGGCAGAAAAGGTTTGAGAACAAATCGATTTTTTAAAAATAATATATAAAAAATATTAATTTCATAACATTCGTATACGGCTTATATTAATATACTTTAAATGAATATTTATAAATAAATATTTTTTAAACATAAATAGATAAAAATTTGCGTTAAGGCGATATAACTTAAAAATTCGGGATATGCCATCTTCACCAGCTGGCCGCCCTATCGTAACCTGGCCGAATCCGTGTTGTGTCGGATAAAAATGGCCTTCTTAGTTCCCATAGAGCGAAAATGGTTTTAAAAAGTAATATCAAGTTGGAAGAGAGAACAGTGACTAAATTAACGTAGCGAATGCGGCAACCGAAAGTTTATACAAAAAAAAAATTATACAAAATTAAAGTAAACATTTTATTCGGAAGTATATTTTACAAATAAAAATTATACTTTAATTTTACTCGTTATAAAATTATTTATTAAAACATATAAAAAAATAATATAATGAAAATATCAAGAAAATAATTTTAAAAAATGAAAAATAAATTGTAGAGGGCCTATAAATTCGTTCGTGAAGGAGGAGCGACATTTTCAAAATGGCCGCTGCTCGATTTTCCGTAGTGGTGAGTTTAATATAAAATTCTATCAAATTATAAGTTGTTAATAATTTACAACTGTATTAATCTATAAAATGTAACGTAAAATAGATTTTAATGTGGAACTAGAGGCGTATTTTATGCAAATTATATAAATTTGACCTTTCGGGTCATATGAATCTTGAAAATGCTACAAGTTACTTTTAGGTAATTCGTGTATATGTGCATTCAAATACACATTAACTTAAGGTAACTTTTTGGACTACTATTTGAAAAAATTGTAGACCTATGAATTCCCACTGTCGTCTGTCCGGCTGTTTGTCTGTCCATAATCTCGAGGATGGAGTTAGATGAAAGCTGAGACCAGATGTGGAAAGATTAGAAGTAGGAGGGTTCAATTCAAGCTTTGAATGAAACATTTGGGACCTTAGAGCTGTAGAGTACATGTATAGGAGCAAAAAATTTAAAAGAACCATATCTCTACAAGCGTCCCTTTGCGAGGTACAGCCCCCAAAATCAGGTCGTGTGAGATTGCGAGTTACATTGCTTTGCTAAGACTATTGCATTTAACTATTTAGTCTGTGCAACTATGCCACATGGGCTTTGAGTAGCCCACTTGACTGTTCGTGGAATACTTGATGTTATATAGTTTTAGGGGGTATGGGGGCTTGCCCTCACCCAGGTACTGAAGTGTGAGCAATAGTGAGCACTGAATCGCATGACTACATGCGGAGCGTCTGTTGTGGCTTGCAATCGCACTCCTTAATGACACAGAGCATGGAGAATAGGTAGTAAACTGATACTTGTTAAAAACTGACTTTTGGAGATAGATATCTTGTGAAATGTTGCATGTACAGGTATGGCACCTTTTCTGCTTGTACAAGGGAGACAAAAAACCCCCTTATTTGGAGTTTGAATCTTACCGGTAGGAGGCCACGATTAAGTACGAAGTTCCGGTGCAAACTGGAAGTCACGTTATTTCAATTCAAAAATTTCCTCCAAAAGGAGTTAGATAGATGACTGGCACAAGTTTATTGTTAAAGGAAAAGTATGATGTACAGGCCATAACTAATTAGAGGTGGAGAGCATATATTTTAAATTAAATACATTAAAAATATGAGTAAAAATTTCAGATGGGCATTGTGACGATATCGCAGTAAATAATTGCTTGAACTAAAAATACATTTAAGTATTGAAACTAAATAAATAAATTTTTAGTTAAAATGTTTAAATTGTATCCAATGTTCTAGCAATTTCCAATATTGAAGTTTTTTTGATTTAATATTGTTTCTGATATTTATAAAAATATATAATTTTCAGGATCTGTATTATGTTTATATAATGCAAACTCTCTTCTTGAAAATTACATATTCCTTATTTCTGTGTTCAAAAAGTATGGAGAATTATTTGATAAAATGCAAGATTTGAATTTATTCATCAAAATTTATTTCATCCTCTTCAAAGTAATCTCTTCCTCCCATTGCAATGCGCTTGTTCTAACATTTCTTTCAATTCTCTAAACATGCTTTACAGTTGCTTTTGCAAAATTCGTTTGGGACTTGCAGCGAATTTTGTTTTATGGTATCCATTGACTCAAAATTGTGACCACTGAATGGAAATTTTAGTTGAAATGGGAGAATGTTTTACAGTGACGTATTGGGTGAATATGGAGCCAGCAGAACTGTATTTGTTGAATTCTTGGCCAAAAACTTGCCAACAACGAGAGCATTGTGAACAGGTGCATTATCGTGTTGTATAATCCATAATTTTTCTTGCCACAAACTGGGTTGTTTTCATCAATTTCTTTGTGCAAATGATGCAAAATGCTGAAATAATATTCATTGTTGGCAGTTTGGAAGGAATTTGTGATGCACCACATTGTGACAATCAAAGAAACTGATTGACTTGATATTGATTTTTTTATCAACTGTGAAGTGATCTTTTTGGTCTTGCTTTACTTTTCAACTGCCGTTCACTCGCTTGTTGAGTTGTTTTGGTGTCAAGAGTGTAGATCCATGTTTCGTCCCCCATAATGATGAATTTAAGAACAATTTGCCTTGTTTACTTGAACATTGTAACAATGTATTTTTGGAAAAATTCAATGTTTTTGGGATGACTTGAGAAGCAGCACACCATGAGCCCGAATGATATTTTAAAATTGTTTGACAAGATCCAAATGATACTGGAATGTGTTCAATAGTTTTCCTAATTGTTAAATGACAGTCATTGAGTACCAAATTTCTGACTTGAATGCCGTGTTCGTCAGTTGAAGTGGACAATTTACTGGAGTATGTTTTGTCTTTGATGCATTTTCTGCTTTCTGGTAACGTCTTGTACCAATCAAACTTTTGTTTTTGATAGACTTTTGTCTCCAAAGACTTTTTTCAACATTTTCAAAGTTTTTGTAGCAATAATTCTGTTGCAAAAACAAAATTTAGTGCAAGTTCTTTGCTCGATTACAGTAGCAATTTTGAAAAATTGCTGGCACAAAACAAGCATTTATTTGTTAGCGAAAATGGGCAATGACGACAGTGCTCACTTACACATGCACAATTTAAATAAACTATTTCCAATACTTTTTGATCACAGTAGTATAAATGATTCTTGTACAATTGATTATTTCTTTAAATAAACTGTGGTTTGAGGAGGTTGGAATAAATGGCAGCTTTGGTGATTTGACGATGAATTTTGATCTATCTATGCTTTGTTGCCGTCCAGAGAATTGTTTTCTGAGGATGCAGATTTGTCTACAAATTGCCAGAGGGTTTTTGGTTGCCTGGAATCAATAATTTTGTCAATTGGAGTATCCTTCTGAGTGAAGGTATACCTCATCCAAAAACGACAAAATCTTGTCATTTTTGGATGAGCAATAGCAATAGTTTTTTGAACCCTTTTTGCCTTTTTTTTCTGATTGGTTCGTGTTCGTAAATAATTTTATTATGTACAAATCAATAAAATGCCACTATAATTTAAATCGGCAAAACTGACAGCCACGATTTCATCATTGATTAGACCAAGAATTGTGCTCGCCATGCAAGGTCTATATTGTTCTGTTTCATTATTTAGTTGTGAACAAATAACAGTATTCAAGAATCTTTGTAATTATTCCTACATTCTTTATGAAATAACAGCTAAACTTGATTTCTAATGTATTTTGAGTTTATGGTGCTTAAAATGCTTAATTACATGTTACATTTAAAAATTCAAATGTGGTCATGCCCCAATTACTCCAGTTTTTTGATGCTTTATTGTAGTAATAATTATTATTCTTTGTAATTACTTCCACCAAATAAGAGTTAATTTTAAAATAAATTTTATACTTTTGTATAAAGAAATAGTAACTAGCTAATCAAAATTAAATTGAAATAATTATTTTTAATAAAATGATTAACATTTATTTTGACTTTGATTGCAATACTAAATGTAAAATTAAATTTAATAGATTGATAATATGCAGTATACTGTATTCACACATGTGAATACCAATTATTAAGTATTTTTAATGTTAATTAATTTTTTAACTTCGTCTACAGGCTCGTCACTTTAGTACCTCAGTTCGGAACCAGGCCAGCCTTATTCAAGTAAGCACCATTTTATCATGTAAACATTATAACACTTATGCATAATTATCTACTTATCTTACAAAATAGTTTCTACATTGAATTGTCATTAAGATTGTCATGATTTTTTTTTAAAACTTTATTCTTATTTACCATTCTGCATATACCTTGCTCATTAAAGTGAAAATTATCTTTACTTTATAAAATATGTGCATCTTTTCTTATTTTTCCCAGCCACAGTTACACAAAGTATTCATTTATATTGATGTAAAAGTCTTTTGAAATGAATTCTACCATTTTAAACTACTGTAATTTTGTTAATTGTTACTCAAAGTATGTGACATGCACCAATCAGTACAATAACTGTCCTAGTTTTATCTCCCATTCAGATGTCTTGCTGTCTACTTCCTCCAGGATTTGCCATAAACAAAAATGGTAACTCCACAACAGAGGTGTTTTGTGTTCTTCAGTTTGTAAAATCAGAATTACTCATCATTGCACAACACAAGTAATCTGCAGGAGCCATAGAAATTATTTCTACGGCTCCTGCCGACACATCATTGTTATTTCTCCCAAGGCTGTGGATGCCTTGAGAGAAATAATTATGATATGCCGTAATGAGTGTAGGAAGAGTTTCAGTTGAATGTGTGCCTTGTGACGTGAAGAGCACACATTGAGAAATTGGGGCAAATGTGAAACTTAGAAGACAGTTTTTCCATGTTTTAATATACATTACAATGTTCTCAGATAATAATTAGCTTAAGTACAGTAATTTAAAATGGTAACATTCATTTTGGAAAACTGTACAAATGAAAATTTCAGATAAATACATAATATTTATGACATTGAATTTAATTTATTTAGAATTTAATTAAATTGTCCAGTTGCACTAGCCAAGGAGGCCCACTCGACACACCCTATCTCTTCTCGCTTCCTTCTCATGCTGTTAGTTCTGTCTTAATTTATTTTATTTGCTTCCCTTTACATAGTTTTTCTTTTGCCACTTTTTTTTAGTTTATCTTCTCTATCTCTTTTCTTCCTTGGTAAATGGATGCCTTCTCTCTGCTGTCTATCATCTGTTCTTCTACGGTAAGCAGATATGTTGGGGGCTTGCTTCAGGATGGAAGTCACGTGTGAAAGTTCTGTGTCGTGTGTGCCTCCTCAGCTGCCTTTCCTTTTTTTGGGTAGTGCCCTTGTTCTTGGTACAAAGGTATCCTCACATGATCGGCAGTAGCTGTTTTTTCAGGGGCTGCCATCGACAGTTGGCAACAGGTGTTTTTATCTTGCCTTCCATGGCCTTAAACTACTTGTGGGAGTCTGTGAAGGTGTTGTGTTATTGAGCTGCTGTACCTACCCCTGCAGCTTTTTCTGCTTTTTTTGTCAGATCCTACCCTTCTCTCTTCTTATGATGGCTCTGCCAAGGCACTCTGCATTCTTTCTAGTCTTTGGCCAACAATTATGTAGGAAGCATGCAACTCCTAATAGTTAGCTCACTTGCAGAACAATTGCAGGTAATTGTGTGTAACAAAAATTTTACAAATACAATCGATTATTTCTGGTACTTTTATTAATACATAAGACCCCGCTTAACGTGGGAGATGCGTTCCTAGACGACAAAGCACTAAACAAAACAGTGTTAAACGAGGTAATTTTAACATAGAGTAAATAGGAATAGGGGAACACATGATCGAAAATAAAAAAATTTTACTTTAATTTTAAGTTATTTTCTATTATTATACAAATTAATGTAAAAATATGAAAATATTTTAAATAACACATAAACATATGCACACAGAAATATAATAATATATTAATTAGTTTATTTTTTCTATATTAAAAGTTCATTTTTTGTGACGAAGGTCCTGACTTTTCTGAAATTCTTGTTTGTTTTTTTCTTTTTTTGCAATAAAGTCATGAAGTTTCATTTGTTGCTGTATTTCTTATCGTAAGCAAATGTCGGTAACAGGAGATCACATCCAAAATGCCTTGTTTTGCTTTTTCACTCCTTTCAGAATCTTGATCATTGGCTACAATTTGATCAACGATTTTGGTTATCATTACCAAACCTTTACTAAGGAAATGTGTAACAAGTTCTTTGGGTTCTTCATTTTCAGAATCACTATTTTCCAGTTTTATTTGGATTTCCTGTTCTGCCAGTTCTCGAAAGTCGTTGTTGATAAGACTCTCGCCAGAAACCTGTGGTAACTCCTCAATATCCTGTTTGTCTACATCTCCTAGTCTCACTGTATCGACTAGGTTGAGTTTGATCAACCTAATGATATAGCAATAGGTTCTTCTTGTTGAGAATTCTTGTATACCTTCGGTCGTAACTTCTTCCACACTTCGTTTGTGCATTTATCAGTTAATTCTTGCCAAACCAAGTCGATATTGCCTGTGGCATTTGTGATGTTATATTTTTTCCAAAATTGCACCAAACAAACATAGATTTAAAGAAAGAACACCTTTTTCTGATTGGTTTGCGTTCATAAATAATCGTGTTATGTACGAATCAATAAAATGCCGCAATAATTTAAATTGGCGTAAATTTCTTTTTGTTTTTTTAAAGGCTTCGAACAGACTGCGTTATATCGAATCAATGTTAAGCGGGGTCTTACTGTATATATATATATACCGTAGAGCATTGTTTATCTGAATCAATTGGGGACTGAGGTTGTTCAGATAACTTATTTTTCAGATAACCAATTATGTATGAAAAAATATATTAATCTATCCCATACTGAAATTTTCCTCTTTTGCGTGTCACTTTGTGTTGAATTTTCGTCGATGTTAAGCCTAACGTAAACTTTTTAAAATAATAATCATGGCTATTGTAGTGTTAAAAATTATTTCTTTATTTTTTACAAACAAAATAAATATGTTGAAAAATATAAAAAACAAAAAAAATATATTTCAGAAGTTGATCTAGTATCAAAAATGCTCGATTCAGCACAACACACAGTCCTCAGAAAAACACCTCACAAAAGTGCCAGTGCTGCCAGCTAAACACACACACCAACAAAAAAAATATTGCAGTAGCCCAAGATATAGCCAAAGATTGCAGCACCACAGCATTAATGAAAATTTAAATTTGCCGACTGGAATGCTTTTGGTTAACCGATGTTTCGAATAAATGACGCTCTACTGTATTAGTTAGTAAGTTTAAGTATTAGCTCTAAATAAATCTTAAGATCTGGCAACACTGACTCAAGAGATCCTCTTACATCTGTGTGTTCAACACTTGGCTTTTATCAATATTTTTTTCCTTTTTCATTTACTAGTGTAGATAGTGTAGTACTTGCTGTACTGGTAGATGGCACTTTTGGCCTGGCCAACAGGCTGGTTGTATGGAGTTTTTTGGGTTTCTTTCACATGATATAATCTGAATAGGGACCAGTTTCCCTGGGAAAACCTCCTGGAAGGCAAACTTTGGCAAAGATTTATAAGTTCTAGCCAGTGACCTCAATCAAAATTAAATATTTAAAATTGCTAGAGTTAGTTGTCAAAGGCTTTCCATAGATGCAGGAGTTCTTCTGTAGTTCTGGACAAATCAGAAGAAATTTGTGAAAATGAAAACGATGACAAATGGTTTTTATTAGAATAGGTCTTACTACTTTCTGCTCACTCCATTTTTAAGTAAACTTTAGTAATAAACCTTAATGTACAACACAGTTTATCAAATGCATATCAAGAACACACAAACAACTCGCCTCGTTTAAAAGACACGATAAATAACAACACAGTAAACACTTTGTTGTACACAAATCGAAATACATTACAACACAATTCAAGTGCATAGATTTACACAAATACATAATACTTAGCTACAATGCCCTAACACCAGGCATGTGTAGCTCAACTTAATGTAGTTATTAACAGTGTACTTTTAATGTACATCCATAAACAAACCTCTTAGTGCTCTCCAAGCAGAAAGAGGTTTATGGTCCTTCAGAAAAAAAATTGTATAATACAATATGTATTCTTTGTTAACTATTTTGAATAACATACACATACTTTTACATTTTGTTATGGTGAATAAAACACTTACTTGTAGACTAATTTTAAAATAAATTTATTGTTTCAGTAGAATAATTTTGTAAAGTTTGCATTGTCATTAATGCTTTTACAAATGAATGAAAAATACATATAGGCTTTAGTGCCGGCTATAATATTTTGTGTTACAATATCTTCACATAAATTTAAATTGCATTAAATTAATTGTCATGTATTTACTCTAATAGCCACCAATTGCCGTATTTGGAATCGAAGGTCGCTATGCAACCGCTTTGTACTCTGCTGCCTGCAAAGAAAAGAAACTCGAGGCTACAGAAACAGAACTGAAAAGATTGAATGTAGGTAGACAACTGTGCTATTAACAAATATGTATTTTTAGTATTTTATATGGTCTGATTATAATATAAATTTTATAAACGTTAGATTCTTACATCATTATATACCATATACCTGTGTTTTCCCACCTTTTTCTGATAGTGTCATCTCCAACTTGGTAATTTTTTTTCTCTTGGTACCCCCACTTTATCAATGTAGAACTTTATCAATCATATAAGAAAGTGTTATGGCACTTCTTGGCACTATATTTTTCAGTAGCTTGGAGGTGTCATCTTGGCACTCTTGTGTACAACCACACACCAATTGAAAATCACTTCCATATATTAAGAGAAGAATTGATTAACGTATAAGCAAGTTCTGATGATAAAGTTGAAATTTTACCACAGAAGACCTAGGAGGCATCCCTCCTTGGCAGATCGCCCATATGTCACGTTGCTGCAACCAAATAAATCAAACCTCAGTTGTGTTCTTCCACAGTGCCGGATAGGATGTGTTTCAGATGATGATAGCACTTTCCTTCAGTCGTCACTCTAGTCCCATTCTTTTAGGAAAGTCCTGCATATTTTTACAATGCTTTATTGGATGAACTTTGTTCTTAATCAAGAAATTTATACTTCAATTCTCTTGATATTAGAGTTAAGTTTCAATTTTTAAAACATTTTAAACAGAAAATTGAAAGTGAACTTTACATTCAAAGTTTTATTGTTGGATAACTTTAAGATTTAAATTCTTTATTTCTAAATGTTAGTTTATTTTGTAATATTAAAGAAAAGCTAAATAATTTGATCTTTCATTGAATTTTGTGCACTTATCTTTTTCCTAATATTGCAAGACGACTGCATGGCAAAGGATTCTTTCCTTTTTATAAGGGATCTAGGTTTTAACCATTTATTATACAGTAGTTTTTTTCAGTTTCTACTTATGATACAATTTACTAGGAGAGAGCTTCATCCCTGACCAAAATGCAGCAATGTCTTACAAATGTAGACCAATAAGGAACAAAAAATGAAAGTAACTTGTCACTGCATAACCAGTGAATTCTTTGTTCAAAAACTTCTTTTTACATATCTTATGCAATGTTTATTATGTAATATTTTAATGTATATGTTACTGTGAAAGACCGAAATTAGAGAATGTCGATATTCTCCGGTGAATGTCGACACATATAAAATACAACGGTGAAAGACCGAATATTTGGTTATAATATTATACATTCGAACAATCGCCGGTGTATGTTGACAAGCACAGATAAGCTTTGGTGGAGGTAGAAACGACACCCGAGAAGCCGATGTCGACAGAGGGGCGACATTCTGTCGCAAAATTCTTCGCCATTTCCTTCTGCTCAAATTGGTTATACTGTACGAATAGAAGTCCTCGATGTTGACCGTGGCCGTACAGATGCCCGAAATGTATGGCGGTTGTTGTTGGAATAGAAGACTCCAACTTTTTATAAATTAGCAAACAAAAATGGTACCCTCAAGCAGCTTTATATCCGCAATCAGTTCGTAATTTGTAAAGAAAAATTACTTTCCATAGATGAGATTTCTTCTCAAGAAATATCGCCGAGAGAAGCAGCTGCAGCTAATTCGAAAAGTGGAGGGCAAGGCTATACACGCTGTCATTGCAAAAAGAAGTGTTCCA